GGCTGCGGCCGTGTCCGCCCCGGCCCGAGGGGGCGGCCTTGAGTCAGGGTTGCGGGCTGGGACTCGGGGAGGTCGGCGGCGCCGCCGCGTAGTCCTTCGATCTCGGGCGCGGCGAGGCGACCCGTCACCTGGAGGGCACTCTCTGCCCTCTGTGCTTCGCGCGGACCGAGAACGAGGGGCGGCCGGGGCGTGATGGGCCCCTTCGGGGAGAAGGACGTGGGGAGAGCGGACACCTCGCTGCCAGGTCGGAAGGCTCTCCCGACACTCTTCTGAAGTGAACCGCAGTCTGCAGGCCGGGGTTGTGCTTCGGGCTCGCGTTCCGGGGGGGAGGGGGGCCCTCAGTCCCCGACCCATTTGAGCGAGTTGCGCGTGGCAAGGGTCCCAAGTCTAGATTTAGGTGTCAAACTGGTGTTTTGAGCCTAGGGTTCCTAGTCACTCGGATCAGACTGAAAGTGTGGTGTTAAGTCACCTGATCCTTCGTTCCCCGGTTTTGCTGAATGTGAGCTCCTACTGTACGTGTAAAGGCGCCCCTGCCCCCTCGAAGGCGCAGTTGCGTTGGCAGCATGGTGTTGTGTGTTTCTCTCACTCATAGCACCCCTATTTTTAGGAGTTTAGCATTTGATCTTTCACTGTGGTGTGAATTAAACGTTTGGAATCCTGATTGAGAATTTTGATGTTACTTAAAGGCATAAAGTTTCTCAAAGGCTTATAAATAGTAAAAGCCTAGAGTTAAGTACGTCGAGCTAAGGTAAGAGTATATTAAATATACTGAATGTGAGCACGTGTTTTCTGATTTTTTTCACAATCTGATAAAAGTTTTACTGGATGAAATTTAAAACATTTGAATTAAATATTAAACACAGGTATTCACTTTATTTTGTTATTTTTGTGGTATTGAGAGTTGTTCCCTGGGGCACTCTACCTTTGAGGGCTATCCCCGACCCCTCCACACCTCTCTGTCTTGATTTTTAAGTTTTGAGACAGGGTCCCATCAATTTGCCCAACTTGGCTTGGAACTTGCGATCTTCCTGCCCCAGCTTTCTGTGCTACCGGTCTGGTAAGGATTCACTTTAATAAAAAAGTTTATTTAGAATAAATATACTTGATCATTCATGGTAGTCCTTGGACATATATAAGGTGATGACAAACTAGAATTTTCCTAAGTGAAAAAGAAAAGGAAATGAAGCTTATTGAGTTATTGTTTACCAACTACAGCACTTGACTGAACTGTTTATAGTTTATAGAAAGAAATACTTCCGGAGAGGCTTTGCCTTGGATCTGCGGGCTGTATATCTCAAGTAATTAGCTGCCTGAAATATGAATGGATTAATTTAGTTCTTTTGGGCCCTAGGAGAGGGGGGTGTATGTGCTCCGCACTGCCCCAAACTCTTTTAGATATAGTTTCAAAGTATTTTATCTACTTGCCTTTTTAGGAGAAGCATACATTTTGACTCAGTTATGGTTATGAACATTGTTTTTGTGTTGCTTATTGAAAAGGGAGAAGACTCAGGAGACTGTTGATAAATGGGGCCTACCACTTACTAAAAGCTCTTGACTGCTACTTAGAGATTTTGTCTTTCTTCTGGTGGTGGTGATGGTGGTGAGAGAGTGGAAGAAATTAAATTGATAGCCATTCCTATCAAATGACTGCCTAAAAGAACCCCTGCACCTTCTAATTTGTTCAGAGTCACCCATTACTGCATTAAAAACCAAATAAACTTGTTAGGATTTGAGTTGAAGATAAGAACAAACAAGTTGTGAATTATTAGGGACTCATCTTTTTTTGATCATGTTGTATAAACTCTTTTTTTCCCCTCTGCTTTCTGGAGAAGTAAAGTTGAAGAGTTGAGTTGGGGTGAGTCAGGTGTCACTTTAGTAGTTAGGAAGATGCTCTGTCTCTCTTAAGAGAAATATTTACTCTTTTAGGAATGTAGGATCTTTAGAAAGCAAATAAGCACCTCAGTACATAAGCATTATTGACTTTACAGGTTGATAGGATTCTGTAGATGTGATTAAATCTACTTAGTAAAGTGTTTTGAAATTCTGTGAAATTTTTCTTTTGTGGGGAGAAGAGCTACCTTACAGTAAAGAGACATTTGTTACAGGGAAAATAAACTATGGTCAAAAATTAAGATTCTGGCCTTAAGTTTAGTGCACATAGTCATGCAGTATTTCAGAATATTGTGTGTGTGTGTGTGTGAGAGAGAGAGAGAGAGAGAGAGAGAGAGAGAGAGAGACTGAGACTCTGACTGTATTGTAACTTTGTGATAAAGTTTTTGTTTTTTGCTGTAACAACCCCCCTCCCCCACCTCCCCACAGCAGGGTATCAAACCCAGGGTCTTGTACATGGTTAGGCAAATGCTCTACTACTGGGCTACATGCCTAGCCACAGTGAAATTTAATTATGGCTAATATTAAAGTTTAATATTCACAAATAAAAACTTTCTTGAAATTGTTAGACCTTTTCCAAAATTAGGCAACTACTTGTACTTGGAACACTGTCAACTGGTATGATGATGCTGAACTACAAGATATATTTTTTAAATTGTGGGACTTAGTAGCAATTTAAACATCCTCGTTTTTTTTTTTTTTTCCCCAAAGAGATAATGTGCACTTTTGACTGACTTGGATTTGGTCTTCTGACTAGTTCATGTAGAATCCAGGGGATTCTCTTGCCAACCTACCTGCTTAGTAAAACTTAGTCATAACTTGTGTTTCTATGGTTGACATAAGAACAATCAGTGATTAGTTGAATACACTGCCAGTTAGTAACTCTAATAACTATTGGAGAAATATGTAACTGATAAAAGATGCATAGTAGAATCTCTCTAATACCTTTTACCTTTATTGCAAAATATGGCAAGATGTGTTTAAAAAATTGTTTTTGCTCAGTTAGAAGGCTTGCTTGACATGCAGCTGTTTGGCAGTCTCTCAATGCCAAAAATGGAAAGGGAGTAGAAGTTAATATATTTTTTTTCTTTTTTCCTTTAATGGTGATTTATAGCTCTGTAAGAAAGAGGGCTATCTCTGGGGTGAAGACAAAGAACGACTTCTCCCCCCCCCTCCTTTTTTAAGTGTGGTGGTATTTTGATTTTGTAGCCATTTTGAGATTTTAAAAGCCAAGTGTGTTACTTACTTTCTAGAAAATTTGTCATTGATAGATGTGAACATAGAATAACTGAACTTGATCCTCCAATAAATCCATTACTCAACTAAGTTTCTTCCACCCTAACTATCCTTTGCCATTCACCATACTTGAGGGCTTTCTCTATAGGTTTTTTTTTTTTTGGTTGTTCAAAACATTACAAAGCTCTTGACATATCATATTTCATACATTTGATTCAAGTGGGTTATGAACTCTCATTCTTACTCTGTATACATATTGCAGAATCACATCGGTTACACATCCACTGTTTTATATATTGCCATACTAGTGTATGTTGTATTCTGTTGCCTTTCCTATCATCTACTATCCCCCCTCCCCTCCCCTCCTCTCCTATCTTCTCACTGTACGCCATCTACTGTAATTCATTTATCTCCCTTGTTTCTTTCCCTTACCCCACACTTCCTTTTATATGTAATTTTGTATAACTGTGAGGGTCTCCTTCCATTACCATGCAATTTCCCTTCTCTCTCCATGTCCCTCCCACCTCTCATCCCTGTTTAATGTTAATCTTCTTCTCATGCTCTTCCTCCCTGCTCTGTTCTTAGTTGCCG